TCGCCACTAGCACGACCACCACCAACATCACCACCATCTCACCAACGACCACTCTATCGCCACAACCACTCCACTACCACCACCAATAAAAATCCTAGATCCAAATCCAATTCACCAAATCTCTCAACATCTAAACCCTAAATCTACATCAGTCAAAACAAATTTTAGTACAAACAGAACAAACTACAAAAATAAACGTCTGCTACCACACATACGCCATGGGGAAAACCAATGCTACTCCGCTATGATCCAGCAAATCAATGCTCCAATTGACACACAGTATGGTCTGTCGTCCATCGCTTAGAAAACCAATAGGTACAAGCACTTTGTCAAGGGTTGCAACGTAATTGTCTAAAGTGGTGACATAAGCACCATCTAGGCGATCCATATCATATCCAACATCCCCTCCTGAACTGCACCGAGCCCCTTGATATTTAATGGTGTCGTTGCTTCGCGTAGCGAAGCGCCACCAAGAGCAACTGTGCAGCGTAATTACTTCATTACAGCAACGACGATTAGAGAGTGTGGAGAATTAGGCTGTGCGGCATCACTGCTTCATTGCAATAACAGCAATTACAGTGTGGAGAATTAGGAATTAGGCGGTGCGGCGTCCGATTAAAGGTGGAGAAATAGGCTTAGTATGTGGTGTTGAATTAAAGCGGAGAGAGAGATGAAGTATTTAATTATTAATAATATATTTATTTAATAAATGTTAAATAATAACTATAACCTGAATTTCATGAAACTTAAAATCTTATTTATGAAATACGAAGTTTAAAAACAGCCCTATGTGTAATTTCCACCTTTTCTATTGTTCCATAAAGTCCTTGTTAACCCAAGCCAATACCCATTGTTCAACCGTCCAATACAACTCCAACAAAAACAATTCACCTAAAGCCCAAACATCAAATAATAACCTCAAGCCCATTAAATACTAGCCCACTATCTCTAAAACCTAACACTTTACCTCAAATTACCGGCCCCATAAACCACAAACCCTACACGTTGTCAATTAGTCCCAAGTCTCAAACCCAAAATCCATATAACAGACCCACAACTCGTAAAGCCCCATACAAATAGCCATTTACACCCGGCCCACATATATCAATGAACTCTACCCACAGCCAAAGAATATCCATACAACCCCTAATTAATACTTTAATCAATACCTACAGCTCGCAGCTCCAAGAAAAATCTTCTGGCAACAAATTTTTGTTCCATATTAGTTTATATAAAATGCATCAGTCAATACATCTGTTGTTTAGTTTCTAAAAAATTTGTTCCTTGTAGTTCACAGTCACATAGAAGAATTCAATTGCAACAGCCTACCACCACTTGTGTACTCTTCCACCGTAGTCGTGTTAGCTTGAAGATGATGATATAGCCACTGTTTGACTCTTTTGAGTTTCATGAGGGACTAATTTTTTTATGTTGAAATTTTTTGCTTTTGTTTTTGTATTTTGACTTGTATCTTGAAAATAATTTTAAAAGAGGCGGGGACTATGTTCCCCATACCCGCCTCGCCCTTACCTTGGGGCAACAACCACCTCATGTACCCGATTGAATGGAGAATTCCTGCCCCATTCAAGGTGGGGGCTGTGGGTATCGGGTGTAACTAATTTTTTTGCCATCCCTAATTATCACATGGCACATTATTAATCTTATTACTCCAAAAAGGCTTATTTGACCTAATTGTACCTTGTAATCCTTTAAAAAGCGTTTTGAGTGAGTTATTCAAGCTCCACGCATTCTTTCCTTTGAATTAAAATTCAATCAAGTAGAGCACACAAATTTCAATATGTTTATTTGTAGCAAACAAGTAGTTAGTTTATAAGAATCAAAGTAAATAAGAATGGAGTTTTCTTTGATGACCTAAGATCTAATTGTAGAAAGAATAAAAAGTTGCGGATAACTCTTTTTTGTACCTAGAGTCCCGATTACTAATTAATAAGTCTCTATCAACAAGATAAAAGAGTGAATTCTTCCTTTCATGAAATTAGGCAAACAAAATGAATTTCGTCTTATGTCTTATATATATAATCAAATAGAGAAAAGATAGATATATAGTTTTTTATCTTTCTCTATCTCCCGAAAAGATCATTTTCACTAAAAATTCTAGTTGGGTCACATTCTAACGAATCTTTCGATAATCTGTAAGAAACTCTTTCTTTATTAAAAATTCGAAGACAGGAACAAAAGACAATGAAATGAAGAAAATAATAAAGTGAATTATCATACATATAAAGATGAATAAGTCCATTTATTAAAATATGCCTGATTGTTTATACATATACCTGTCATTTTGAGTTCTCAAGTCCTAACACATATCTCCCACCAAAACTCAACAAAAGGCATCAAGTAGGACTTGGTATGCACATATTTTTCTTATCCCAAATCCAGTGGGGGCATCACCACAACTGGACCCAAAGTCGGTTCGCTACTTATTTCAATTGACTCGAAGATGATCCAACTGGACGGAGCACATAGCATCTTTCTTTAATTTTGTTCAAATAAATGAATTCAAAATTTCATGCGAGATAAAGTGCTTCTTACGGTTATTTTTTCCACCAAAAGACTATGGGGTTTCAACATAGCAAAAGACATCCAAAGGGGTATCGCCAAGCCTCATAATTAACTCGGCGAAAATCAGGGTTCGCTTTGAAAGATTACTAAGTATCTAAAGATCAGTTTTAATAGTCATAACAAAGCTTAAATCCATAACTTTCAAATCGTTACTCCCTTATAAACCCTCTTTTATTACAATTTTTATTCATCAAATCCAAAAATACACAACCATACATTACACAGAATGATTTTGGGGTTTATGCATAAAAGAAAATTTTTTAACCAATTATGAAGTTGACCGTATTAAAATCAAAGACACCCTTATAAACCTATATATTACATTTTTCACTTTTTCCTTCCAAGGCATGAAAGGGAAAAGTTCAGGAGAATATTTTTTACAAAAAGCATCATGGTTTAAAGGTCTAAGTGGGAAATAGCCATCTCATGAATTTTTCCCTTAAATGTCTTATTTAGCCAAGGGTAAGTGCAAGCCAGGAATGTAAGCCCAGGGCGAGGGTTGATTTAACCGAGAATAACATTTTAAAACAAGGTAATAACAAAAGAATTTTAGTACTGTCGTAATAAATTAAACATTGCTCCTTTATCTTCAAATGGATAATAATTAGTAGGTAAGCTTATTTGTTTACTGAATGCTAATTTAAAACACATTTCAACCAACTGTATGTAGCCACTACTCTATTACAAAGACGAACTTAATCAAGAATTTGATAAAATCTTACAATTAATAAAATCGGATTCAAGTACAAGAATCTTTTCTTTTTCCTTTTTGCAACTCTATTCAGTTTATGGCACCACTACGTCAAATCAGTAAGTTGTACAAAACAGAACTAACCAGGACAACTATCAAATTTTACCACACAACTCTTTCGATTAATCTTACCTAGTTAAATATAATGGCAACGCTTGTCAACTTCAAACAAAATTTTACAATTTTGCTCAAAGTCCAACGACAATTTAATAATTTTTTAACCATTATCAATAACATTAACAGTACTAGAAACTAAGAATCAATTAATGTTGTCACTGCTTTAACTACAAATACAGTGCCATAATTAACATAGCCTTGTTCAAATAAAAAATTGCAATGGTGAACTCAAAAGAAAAAGAAATACCTCTGACGCTTTGGAGGGGTCACACCAATGGTTTGGAACCCTAAGGTCTTGAAGAGAATTCTGTGGATTTTCACTGCCATTGCGCTGTGGACTAGAGTAAGCAAACCTAGTTGGAATTGCGGCAAATCGACCTTGACATTGCTGAAAGCAGCTAAACTGAAATTTAAGGAACGGGGTACCAATTTCTCCAATTTTAAACTTGCTAGTTTTCCTAAAAATTGGGTTAATCATGATTGGGTTATTGAATATCAGGGGACCCATTTCGTCAACAATTTGGTTTTCCCCCTAATTTTGTAGTGAGATTGAAAATGGAAACTGTAAATGGCGGGAAGATTGGGGCAAATAGATGAACTTTAACAGCCTGTCGTGCTAGTGGATGCAGGAGTTAAATAGAAGAAAATCCTAAAGCTAACGATACTGTATTTGTCGGGATTTTTTATTTTATTTTATTTTTAAAGCTCTTTGGAGCCCTTGTGAGTGGCAAACATGGGACTTTGTGGTGGGACGTCTCGAATAGTCCTTAGATTGAAGGGCCACATGTCCTTGGGACCACATCAAAGTTCCAAGTGCCAAGTTGGAGTGGACAAAATCCAAACCAACTCGAGAGAACCGCTCGACCAGACCCAATCCATCCACTTTGGGTTGGTTTTTTGACCTTTTTTGATGGGTTTAAGGTATTGGGTTGAGTATTCGGGTCGGATTATGGGTTAATAATGGAAACCCGATATAATCGAACCCGACAACGTTAAAAAAAAAAAAAAGTGAAAAATGACATAAAATGGAAAAAAAAAAAAAAACCCCAAAAATGAAAAAAGAAAAAAAAAGGGAAAAAAAAAAAAAAAGCCCTAAACTTAGTCGTCTCACACTCTCACAATCACAGACTTCTTCACTCTCGCCTCAAAGCCGCCGACGACGATCTTCGTTTTCCAGTTGTCGATCATCAAACGTCCACACTTTCCAGTGCTATAAAGTAAGTATATTTCTTATTTTCTCACTCCCCCGAGTCTCCCCTTCATAAAGATCGCTATAAATAATCTTATCACTCCCAATATTTTCCTTATTCTAACTTCTAAGATCACTATATCTTCTCTTGCATCACTTCAACTCTTCAAGGTCATCTATTATTGCTCCAGGTCCTAAGATTATTTTACACAAGTGGACTGGTTTTGAGTTGAGTCAATTAACTGGTGTTGCCTTCTATAACGTCCCACATCTTTAAGTCGTGAGCTTAAATATTGTACGTACATTTTTAGGTTACTTAACAACTTTCTGTCCCATGCTTTGCTTGCTTAAATTTGTAGTCGGGATACAACTTTCTCGGTGTATAATAAAGTGACATAACGAACATACATTTTTCTTTTTCTTTTTTGAACGCCTTGAATCACACTGTGTGCTTCGAATTCCAATTCCTAGAAATCATTGCTTCATTTTAGTTCGCAAGGTTTTAGTCGACATCTACCATAGTTCTTTGATTGTTTTTATTGATTTCTATTTCCCCAAAACCAAATTGTCTAAAATTTTGAGTTTTAATTAATAGGAAATCTATTTTTCCTTTTCAGGTAGGCATATTAATCAGACAATAATTTCATAATTTATATATTTTCATCAGTTTTCACATTTCAATAGAGTTAACTTTTACAACTTTTTATTTTATTTCTTTTATGATAATAGGTCACTTAAAAAAAAACTTTGGATTCAACAAACAATGGCTTTTTTACTTCATCACGCATTGCAAAATGCAAAGACACTATCAAGCTTAAAGAATGTAAGTTTCTAGAGCTCTAATATTGGAGAATTTCTTTTGCTCTATATTAACATAATTGTATCACTAATATGCAATTACATATTTGAAATTCTCTTACAATGTTTCAAGGATATTTCGGCTAAATCTTTCCTACACTTTGGTGAGATGGATGCCGTGTTGAATCTGATTTTGTAGAGAAAATCAATCTTTTGCAAAACTAAAAGTGTAAGTAATCCCTATTCTTGTCTGTAGAATACTGTATTTAGTTGTCAACACTGAATGAATAAGCGATAGTTTTATCTGATTACAACAAATATACCTTAGGAAATTCCAATTGACAGATCTGGAAATTTTGATATGATATATGAATTTATGGATAAATACTAGAAAATTATCAGATGGGTTGCTCTTGGTGCTCTTACATTGGAGGTAAGAGTGTATTTTACTTTGTTTTGTCATCAACATTGATTTATTGTGGTCACTTGCTACTGCCATAGGCTATGACATATTAACATCTTTGCTTTCATGAATCATGCAAACATATCAAATTTGTTGCAATCAAACCAATCTCCAATTCAAATTCAGGGTATTCAAGTGTTTGCAGACAAAAAATTTGATAGAAAAAAATCTATATACTATATAAGAGGTATCTCTATTTCAGCAATATGTATAAAAGGTAAAAATCAGATTGACCTTAATTCACACAATAATTTGACAGGTAAAGCTAAACAAGAGAAATTTATTTGCATTTGTTTATTTCTAACTTCTTGTTGATTCATTCGTGTATTTTTATATATATATATTTTTTTGGGATTCGTCTGGAGATTGAAAACAGTTTTCAATGTTGCTGACTTGCAGGCATTTCTTTGATTGCTTTTGAGATGCAAAGTTTTCGATGAAACATTGTGATTATGTAGCTGCCACAAGTTTACTATATCAATTTCCAAGTGTTTTGACAATGGATGACTATATTAATTATATTTGGGCGAATTTTTATTTGGATGGTTGTACCATGTATTAAATATTAATTGTATTTCAGTTACTTGGATGACGTGTTGGTTTTGTTTGAATATATGATACTAAATAACACTTTGCTCAAACCAACCAACCCGACCGACATTTGATTGGGTTGGGTTGGGTTTTAACATTTACATGGGTTGGGTTGGGTTGATTTTAGATCAAACTAACCATGTTGGGTTGGGGCAAAAACTAAACCAACCCAAACCATGCCCACCTCTAGTACTAAGCCATCAAAATCAATTGAAATCTATAGTTTTATTCAAAACTTTCACGCACATCAAAAAATTTATTGTGTGCATCTATATAACTAAGTTTGATACATGACTCTAATACCACTTGTCGAGAACCAGTTTTCACCCAATTCTCGACAATGATTGACGTACATAAAATAGAATTGTTACTGGATTAGCATTCTACACGAGAGGGTAAGAATGGTTTTGTATCTTATTGGCTCATTTCCTTGGTGCTTGTTTCAAATTCTTGTATATCATTGTTAACACATAAAAATGCAGCCCAAATCGAACAGCCCAAGGAGTGAAGCCCAATTGGAGGATCCTCAAATCAGATAGTCCAAATAACGAAGCCCAATCAAACAAATCAAGATGAAGGCCCAAATAAGGAGGCCCAAGAACGCGGTAACGCCATCGCCCAAGTTTGCAAGTCGCCCAGAATCTGAGCGAATGGAATGTCATACAGTCGCCCAGAGCTGTTACTCTATTCTCACCCAAATCTTCAAGTCGCCCAAGTTCTTAACAAACATAAAGCGTCGTGGTTACCAAGAAGTGCAGTTATCAAAACAGTTATTAAAGCAGCCCTATCACGTTCCACGATTCAAGAAATTCAATCGAAAGCGGTTGAACGATGAAGGGTAATGGCAGCAGTTAAAAAGACAGTTTTCATGACAAGATGGCCATTACGAAGAAAGTGGGTAGTTTTAGGACGATCAAATAGTTTTTAGAGCGGTTGATCACAAAGAGATCGTCCATGAAGTATAAAAAGGAGAAAGGACATAGAAGAAAAGGACCGAATCCAAAACTCTCGAACAGAGAACTTGTAATTTTCATTTCCTTAGTTTTTAGACTTAAACACTTTTCTTTCAGTAACTCGTGTGCTTGCGCCCCTTGGAGGCACGTTGTTTTTCATTTCCAATTGTAAAATTCATCGCCAATAAAAGAACACCCCTTTTTCGGACTTTGTCTCAAGAGATTTTGTCCCTTACACAATCGTCTGATCCTTTTTAATTGTTAGCGACTAACCCGCGCGAAACAATTTGGCACGTCCGGTGGGACAGTGGTGTTAGGTGTTGAAAGTACAAAAGGTAAAACAATATGCCTCGAAGATCCGACAAGGAAGCAGCAAGTCAGGGAGGAATCCAGTCTGTGATCGAGCGATATGAGAAGCAGCATGCCTCTCCACGAACAGATGGACAGAACCAGAGCAGTAACAGTCGTTACGAACCAATGACGGAGTTGAGTCCTCGAACCATGCGTGCATTACTTGGAGAACTCACGCAAGACGTCGTTGAACAGGTAAATCTTCGAAGTATTCATAATATGGAAAGATTTACACAAAATGGGAATGTACACTATGACAATATGGCCAAACAACTAAAGACATTGAACGAAACAATGAATAAGTTAGTAGGCCAAATATGTCAACCGGCTATTCCTCTTACAAACCACTTTCAAACTAGGACAATTGTGGGACATAATCCCTCGGTCCTAAATCCGAGTCAAGGGGTAGAACCGCTTTCTGGTCCCTCTACTTCAAACCAAGGAGGTACTACAGTGCCAAATCAGAACAATGGTAGTAGTATGCCTAACTTGGGGGGTAATCCAAACGTGAGAGATAATGTCCTAAATAATGGACATAATATTCCACGTGGTAATGAGGGAACAGATGTCCAGGCTAATGGTAATGGCCCTAATTATGGTAATTTTGTTGCCAATCAAGGACCAAACATCAGGCATCATGCAAATCAACCGGTTAATCAGCCTGTAGGAATTCCATATGATTCCAATGTCATGTTGAGGAACCAAATTATGAAAATCGTACAGGATCAGATGGCTTTTGGGGTGCGTCTTGTCATTAGACCGACGTACACAAAGTCATATCCTGATTGGGTAGACCAAGCATATCCATGGCCTAGAGGGTACAAAGTGCCAGAATTCTCACTNTGGGACTTTGTCTCAAGAGGTTTTGTCCCTTACACAATCGTCTGATCCTTTTTAATTGTTAGCGACTAACCCGTGCGAAACAAACATTTATCTACCTTTAAAGAATAAGTCCTTGTTTGATTCTTGTTCTTCTAAAAATTTATTTTTTCAAAACTCATTTTCAACCACACATTTTTCAATAAAATAATATTATACGTAAATGCAAAAATTTTCTTTAATTTTTAACCACATATTCTCGATTAATTTACTATTCAAAATGCATTTTTAACCCCAAAATGGGAATCAAACAAGGGCTAAATTTCAAGTTCGTCAATGGGACTTGGAATCATATGGTCATTTAAACGAATAGCCCAGTGAAAAGCTTACATCCAAGAATCAAAGAAATGTTGCTTGGTTCTTCGTTTGGGCACTGATAGATTGATATGTTCATCAATCTTGTCAACTTCACTCGACCAAAGTGTACACCAACCTCAATAAAAT